GCATTTTGGCCGTTTTAAGTTGACATATTCTAGGTAAATCTTCCCATTTCTGTACAGCGCTTGCAAGTAAAGGCTTCTCTCAGGAGTTTTCATGAGGGCTGGGGTCTGGGAGTTCCCCACCTTGGAGGCACAAATGCCCATGTTAATTTTAGGCTTTTTAAAAATTTTATATCTTTAGAGTCTGAGCAAATTTTCAGGATTTTCTATAGTGGGTTGAAGTGTGCTGCTTAAGGGTTGAGCTCCACGAGGCTCTCACCCCTCAAGTCGCATTCAGCCCTCTTACTCGCATTTCCCAGCACCCGAACTCGTTTCACAAACGCCCGGCCTCACCTGGCCTCACTTGCAACATCCAGGCCACGCGGATTGCTGCCCACGTGCCCGAGCACCTGCGGCTGGCGCAACTCGCAGCCTCCACCTGCCGCCCCACTCCCGCAGCAGAGGCTGGGCTCATCTGGGTCCCTGCCTCCAGTGGGGGTCTTGGGGGTCTCCTGAGGTCCCGATGGGGCTGCTGTGAGGGGCTGCCCACTGGGTGTGACCCAGGGTGTGGCTGGGAGGCCAGCCCCTCCCTACCTTCCATCCCCACCCCCTACCTTCGGTGTCCCTAGCTCTGCTCCCACTGTGCCACTCTGAGCCAGGCCCAACCCAGTGACACCACCACCACCCCTTTCCAGAAATCCACATTAGCCAGATTCTTGGAGGGGCCTGTCCCACACCAGCCAGGCCAAGAGCAGGAAGAAGAGCAGAGCCAGGGCTGCGGCCAGGCTCACAGACGGCACCAGGTCGGAGTCCTGAGGGCCAGGAATGGCATCACCTGGAGCGTGGCGGGCGGCAGCGAGGGCACCGAACAGCTGGGCTTCAGAGACCGTCTCCCCCAGGGGCCCTGGGCGGCCCATCTGTGGGAAGGAGGCGGTGAGGCACAGGACTTCCTCTGCGAGGGGTCCCCCCATCTCTCTCCCTGGATGGGAAGCCCTCCAGACATAACAGGAGCAAGGGGCCACGTGGGCAGTGACTCCCTGAGCCTCAGTGTCCCCCTCTAAAGAGTGAAGAAGGCCGCAGAGGGAAGACAGGCCTGGACCACTGGCATTCGGGCCCAGCCTCACCTCTTCCCCAGCGCCGGAGGGTCTGGAATGCAGCTCCGCCAGTTTCCAGGGCACTCGGACTAGTCTGGAGAGACGGCTGTCACACTGCAGAAGGAGCTATGTCAAGGTTGCCCACTGCCCTCCGCCCACAGGGCAGCCGGAGGGGTGGGCACCAAGTTACCCAAATCTTACAGATGAGAAAGTGAGGCTCAGAGAACAAGGCGGCTCCCTGGACTAGCCCGCCCAGGTGCCCCAGGGTCACGGCAGCCAATCCTCAGGCTCCTCTGAACAGGGGCAGAGTTCAGGCCAGGCCACCCTTTAGGCTCCAAAGCTCTGGCTCAGCCAGAGAGGCCGGGATGGAGATAACCCGGGAGTCAGGGTGGTCCCTGCCCGACCCTCTCCCAGCCCCTGCAATTCTGCAGGATGCTTACCTTCTAGCCACGGGGCTGCCCGCCCTGGGAGGGACCTGTCCCAGAGCTGTCACTGTCCCCAGCGATGGGCAGCCTGAATGGATGAGCTAAGGGCCCTCCCTCTAAAGAAGGGAGGGGCTGCAGCTGGGGGCGGGGAAGTGAGGGGCCCAGCCCGGTTGCGGGTATGTCCAGGGCAGAGAGGGGAGCCCGCCCTCCCAGGCCCAGGGAGCCAGGTGTTCCCACTCCCAGACCAGCATGGGAGGCTAACGAAGTGGGGAGGGCTCTGAATTCAAGTTATCAAGGGCCTTCCAGCACCACCACCCCCCTGCCCTGCCGTGCCAGGTACAGGTGGGGGAGGGGAAGAGCGATGTACACGCCCTGTCCCCCCAGAGGCCAGGCCCCAGTGGCCCTTCAGAGCAGACCCAGGTAAGGATGGTCAGGAGAGAAGGCACAAGCCCGCCAATGGGAGGGCCGAGAGGGGCCTGAGAACCACAGACAGGGTCCTTGCTGGAGGCATTTCTCCTTTAAGGGCAAAGATGTTCTTCGCGTGGCTAATTTTAAGAGCAAAAATGTTTGAAAACAGCCTTAATGCCATGACAGAAGATCATGAGCAAATCCAGGTCCATGTACTTCAGAACCTTCGGGAGCCATGAACACGGGGCCGTGTACACGGAGAGTCAGACCAGCTTTATTCCTTCACCCAAAAACTGGAAATAACCCCGACTGCCCATCGAAAGATGGTGGGCACTGTGGCGCAGGCCTCCGAGCAAGAAAAAGGGAACCACCCCTGAAAAATGACACGGGTGACGCGCGCTGCGGTGCAGAGAGGAAGGAGCCAGACAAAAGGGCACTTCAGTGCGGTTCCCTTTCCCCGAAACTCTAGGACTGATCAGATGGACCCAACCTACAGTCGGAAAGAGGAGCTGCAGCTTCCTGGGGGGGGAGGGGTTCACAAAGGAGCCTTCTGGGGGGACGGACTGTCCGATATCCCCATGGGGGCAGGAGTCTGTGTTAAACAGCTGTGGACCCTCACCAGCCTACATACACTTAAAATGCAGTCATCATGTTACCATATATAAATTACATCTTAACAAGAGAACAAAAAAATGGGGGGAAAGAGCTGGAAATAAGAGCACGACTCCGTAGGAGGCTCCAGAGCAGGAGAATCCAACCTGTGAAGACCGCAACCAGGGTGGTGGGACTCAGGGGGGCGGGTAGGACTGGGGAGGTGATCAGACGCTCCTGGTTTTTGACCTGGGCAGTGGTCACATCGAAGGTTATTCATTGAGCTGCACATTTTAGGATGTTTTACGTCTTAATTTTAAAAATACGGTTGAGGGCTGTGCAACATTATCAATGAGTCACCATTTCCTGGGTGTGCCTGGATCCAAAGCCTACGTCCCCGACGGCAAGAAAATGCTTAAAATACGATGCACAAAGTGGTCACACGACTGTATACACACAAGAAGGGTGAAAATGCAGGCAGACCCATGGGCCAAAGAACCTAAAACACCAGCAGGGTGAGGCTGTCAGGAGATAGATGTCTCTGTTTTCTCGACTGTTACTGTAGTTGTATTTCTTTGATAATAAAAGGGAATTCTAACTTTTTAAGAGCACTGTTTTAATGGTGAAAATCTGGAAATAACTCAAATGTTCAACAATAATGGGTCAATTTTAAAATACATGTTGTGGCCCACTGGCGCAGGAAGATAGGGTGGGATCCAGCCCTTTCTCTGAAAAGTCCAAAGAGCTGTAACTAGTAACTGTGTTTTTTTGAGAATGGTTTTCCAGGGAATTTTCATTTTAAATTTCATGTTACTACCTGGAGCTTCCAACAAGCCCAAGTTATTCCTGCAAGCAGAAAAGACCAGAAACGTGGGAAATACAGGCATGGCGCACTGGAGCCGGCGCCCGCTCCTCCCTCGGCCTTCACCCCACAGACCCTCGCGGTCCCGGGTGCTCAGCCTGATTTCACGCGGTCACGGGAGGAAAGGGAGCCACGCGGCGGCGACTGGGGCGCCCTGCGGGGGGAGGGAGTCGAGCGCGAGGCGGCGTTCACGGCCTTCCTGTGGCAGCGCACTCGAGCTCGCTGTGTGACCTCGGCGAGACGCTTTGCCTCTCGGGGCTTCGGTTTCCTGCTGCCTGGAGAGGCTGAGCCCCAAGGTGGGGCGCGCTCTGCGCCCCCGTGCTGGTAGCCGGCTCAGACCCCGACATGGACACGGAGGCGTCGGCAGGGGCTCTGCCCCCAGGACCCACACGAATGTCTAGCCGCTCCCCTCCGGGCCGCCCCCGGGCCTCCAGGGGCGCACGAGGCTCGGACCGCGCCCCGGGAAAGCCCAGCCGCCCCGCCCTAGCGCTGCGCCCGGCCCCTGGC